AAAACCATCTCCAAATTCTTTCCTCTTTTGATGCTGTGAAAATTTTTCGTAAAAAGGATGACACCCCATCCCTGAGGGCCCCCCAACACCGACCAGACGGTACGATGTGAGGATGTATATTGGACTATAATCACAATCTGACAGATAGAGAGTGAGGCTCTGTCCCAAATTCCTTCCTCTTTTGATGCTGTGAAAATTTTCGTGTGAATGGTTTGCATCACACCGTTATTAATTTTCCTTCCAAATCGATGTTCCAATCCAATCCCGTACTTTAAGGTTTGGACTCAACTCGCTCAAGCTTGGGCAACCATGACACATTATTTTGGGCCATTTTTACTTATGGGAAAAGTAAGGTTATCTGTACCCCTAGCATTTTCTCTACTCGCTCAAGCTTGGGCAATCCAATCACATTATTTTTACTTATGGCACAGGTACGTTTTCTGTACTTTCCCGTTATTATCTTTATTTTTTTTATTTATGGGAAAAGTGTCATAAATGACACTAAGGTTTTTAATGAAGTTCAGATTAAACATTAAGAATGTGTTTACTTCGCTGCTAAAGTCACAGTTAGGTTAGTAAGACAGATGAAGTAAACATGCACGTTGCTTAAAAAGCCGCTTACTAACTGAAAGAGGTGCTTAAAGTGCCGCTTACTAAGCATATCACCCCATGTATTAATTAAGCGACACTTTAAACTTTTTCAGTTTCCGAATTTACCACTTGCCCTTACCCTATTGTTACCCCTCTACCCACTACCCCACCCCCGCCCTACCCTACTACCCTGAAACCCACCCTACCCTATCCCCGACCATTACACCACCCCCACTTCAACCCCTTTTCCCTACAACGACCCTACCCCACCCCCACCTCGGCCCCACCCCGATCCATAGCTACCGCCATCCTACTGCCATCCCTACCACTTCGACCTTACCCGACCCACACCTACCCCCTTACCCACCCTAACCCCTACCTCGGCCCCACCCCACACCCTACCTACCCCCACCTCTTCCTTACCTCACCCTGACCCGACCCCACCCTTCCTACCCCACCCCCCACCACAAGCCCCTACCTCGGCACCAGCCTGATCCCGACCCCACTCTACCGCCATCCTACCCTACCCTACTTACCCCGACCCCACCCTACCCCTACCTCGGCCCCACCCCGATCGCGACCCCACCGACTGCCATCCTACCCCTACCTACCTCACCCCGACCTGAAACCACGCTACCCCACCCCTACCCCCCCTAACCACAAACTCCCCTACCTACCCTACCCCCTACCCCTACCTCGGCCCCACCCCTGATCCCCCTCCTTACCTACCCCACCCCTACCCTACCCTTACCACACTCCCCTACCTCGGCCGCACCCTGATCCCGACTCCACCCCTACCCGCTACCCCTACCCTACTTGCCCCGACCCCACCCCTACCGCCATCCTACCCTGACCCGACACCACCATACTCCACCCCCTACCCCTCCCCACCCCCTACCCTTTTACATGCTCTACCTCGGCCCCACCCTGATCCCGACCCCACCCTGCCGCCATCATGCCCCCTACCCTACTTACCCCACCCTACCCACTCTTACCCCTAACCATGACCCTACCCCACTCCCTATGCCCCTACTTAGGCCCCACCCCGATCCCAACCCCACCCCACCCCTAACCTAACCCTTACCACCCTACCCCCCACCCCCACCCCCTTACCACATGCCCCTACCTCAGCCCCACCCCGATCTTGACTACCGCCTTCCTATCCCCACCCCATATCGTGATGAGGGTAGGGGTAGGGGTCAAGTGTGTGGAATTGGGGGTAGGGTGTAGGGTTAGGGGTCAGGGGTAGGGTGGGGGTACAGGGGTTAGGGGTAGGGTGAGGTAGGGGTTAGGGGTATGAGTACAAGTACGAGGTGACCCCACATATTATATTATATACTTGTGTTCATGAATGTTCATGTGTCTATATATGTATAGAGTTATTTTGGACATTTTAATGTTAAACGGCGTTTTAAAGCCTTCGAAGTAAACACGATCTTACAACATTGCTTATTTTATGCGGCGCTTACTAACGCGGGTCTTAATAAGCACCGTTTAGTAACCTGTGAAGTAAACGTGTTCTAAGGTTTTAAGTAGACCAGATAAACACTAATTTAAACTTTTTGGTTCCTTTTCAGCCAACATTGCTTATCTCCGTTTGTCTTTCTTATTACAATCACCCAATATGTGCAATCTCAAAGTGCGCAGGCCTAGGAAGAGGAAACCATACTAGTCGGACATACTATACTGCTTCACCATCAACCTCAATTGAAAATATAAATAAAAAAGTGGCATACTGGTTCAGGCCCTAACATCGATTTCAGTCTTCTACCGTCGATACTTGTGCTCGGTTTCCCGTTCTCAAAGAAATTCCTAAAGAATGACGGAAATCTTGGTACTTAAGGACGAAGCGTAGTCCATTATAGCTCTCAGATCTCGTTTAAGGTCACTGATGTGTTTCTTTTCTTTTGTACATTTATGATTTATCTGCAATTTTCTCATACGAACTGGCCCCTTTCTTTTAAAAATAGTACTCCGTGTAGTAAAATATGGTCTATCCCTGGCCCCTATAATCATTAGAGCTAAATAAAAGATATAATGCAGATTGAATTGAACTAAAGAAGCTTCGATGACATGTGCTCCGTATGTTCAGAAGTTAGGTTTATATATTTGTCTAAGTATTTAGTTGCTTCAAAAACGATTCAAAATACGAAATTGAGGTTTATTTCCAAAGACACCCAACATTAATGAATTAAAGGTTCTTAGTTTTTCGTTTCTGCACAATCGATGGAGTGACAGTGGCTGCTGAAGTGGTAAACATCTATCGGAGGAAATGGTGTTAAGTGTTAACTACAGGGAAGGGTAATTTAAGGGAGATGTTAAAGGGTGGCTGAAAAGGAACCAAAACGTTTAGATTTTTGTTTATTTGTTCTACTTAAAACTATAGTGTCTAATTCGAGTCTCATTGAAAACCTCAATGTCATTTTTGGTCCTTATCCCTTCTTTTATTAAATGTTTACTTCACTTTTTTGTCCAACTAATTAATAATGGTAATATATTGGGAAAATGGAAACTAATAATCCAACCTTTTAGCATTTTTCTTATAATAGTCCTACATTTTCGTTATTCAAGAATAATGAAACCTTTGCACCCCATCTTCATTCGCTGGTACCTGACCAGTTCATGACATGCTATTCCAAGCTACAAAGTATTTTCTAATCTTTGCAAAATATTATCTTTGTTAAAACTAAGGTGAGATTTATGGTATAATGATTTGCAAAGATAAGAAAACAACTTGTAATAGCAGGTCATCAACTGGTGAGAGACCAATGAATGAAAATGAGGCGCAAATGTGGGACTATCATAATAAGACCACTAAAAAGTTGGATTATTAGTTTCCATTTTCCATATTCCATTTTCCTTTTACTGTTTTAATTTGATTTAAAATTATACAAGTACTATTTAAAAACTGGTAAGGTGTTCCCCGATCCTTACCCCACCTCAGGTGGCAACTCACCGGGAATTAAAAAAAAAGTTAAAAATAAAAACAAAAACAAAATTATACTATTTATATGTTTTTTAGTTACAACATTGGTGAATTTTTTTACGTTATTGATATACTATACCTTGACTATATTTTATTTAATATTGTATTATAAATTAAATTTTTGAATAATATTGTTAAATTCTTCTCATTTTAAATTTGATTTTTTTTAATATTTTTTTTACTAAAAAGGAATATGAACAAACTTGTGGCGTTGGTAAATATAAAAAGAGATAATTCCCTAAATGGGAGTAAAAACGTTTTGAAATTCCAAAATGGGAGTATCATATTTTTTATTCCTTGAATATGAGTAAATTTCTGCCAAGTTTAGTTTTACAAGGCTTTAAAGATGCCACTTTCTTCCAAACTTGGCAGATAACTCCTATTCAAGAACTAAAAAATATGATACTCCTATTTTGGAATTTCAAAACGTTTTTACTCCTATTTAGGGTAATTTCTGATATAAAAATTGAATAGTTGCTGGACTTGATCAATATTTGTATTTTGCTCGATCAAATCTAGTTTACCCGCTTGGACGGAGACTTCCAGTTAGGGTTGGTTTGCAACTGCTTTTAAAAAAGCACTTCTCAGCTTTTGGCTTTAAAAAAGAACTTATTTTCCCAAACACTACAACTTTTATTTTTCTCGGCTTCCGCGTCAAAAGTGCTTTTACTTTTTCTATTACACAAAAAACACTTATTTTACCAAACACTAGCCACTTTTACTTTTCAAAATCACTTTTTTCTCAAACACTATCAACTTTTATTTAATCACTTCTCCCCATTTCATTAGAAAAAGCACTTTTTTAAAAGCAGAAGCTGTTGCAAACAGACCCTTAGCCGGTCCTGTCACTTGTGCAAATTGCATAAGAGGATGGTTTTAATATTTTCTTTTTTAAGTAAAGGGTCAGTTTCGTACTCGAAATTGCATAAAAAAAGTTCAAATAAATCCTTATATATGAGGTTCTGTCTGGTTGTCTCCATTTGGGGCGGTTCTTGGTGGAATTTTTTGATGAATTTTTTTGAGCATCTTATTCATTAAGTCTAGTTTACTCATATCAAATTTCAGCTAAAACTTCAATCGGGAACACATTCAAATGAATTTTTGAAGTTAACTGCGCTTTTAACTGTACAGTTATCTTCATGAATTCTTGAAGTTAACTGCGCTTTTAACTGCACTGTTATGTTCATGAATTCATTTAAATGTCTTCCCGATTGAATTTTAGCTGAAATTTGGTATGAGTAAATTAGACATAATGAATAAGATGATCAAAAAATTTCGTAAAAAAATTCTACCTGAACCGCCTCAAACAGTGACGGCCATACAGTAAGACTTATTTAACAAACGAGCTCTTTACTCTTTTTTGATTAACAATATGAATTTTAATAGAATGGATCATATCAATGAATTTCATACACTTCTACAGTTTTAAGGTTTGAATATAACGAAAACATATACGTGGAGAGCTTAACATCATTTGATTCAAGCCGGAGTGTACGTCAATGCAGTGCTTTTGTTCCGATGTATAACTGGATGTCCTCTGTATTTTTCATTCGTGATTTCGCGCTTCTGATCTCGCCGAGGCCGGTAATCATAACTAGAGTTTTCGATATCGGTAGTCGTTGATCGTTAGAGATGCCGTTGCAGGTCAAGGACTTGGCGAGGGTGGTGAATGGGTTGTCTCTTGTGGCCAAAGAGTCTCTCCGGCGCCGGCTGCTCCTTACAGACGGAGTTGATTTCCAAAGCCTAATCAAGACAACTCTTCTGTCTGCCACCGATCTGACCGGCCTCACCAAAGGCAGGTTTCGGCGGCTTGAAGACGATGCTACCACTGCCCACGCTACTGCAGATATCGATGATCCTAACTCGAATGCTAATCTCAATGCATCCAAGGATAGTGTTGTGTACTTCGGCGATAGTGCACTCCAACCGGATCAAAGCCGTTCTCCTGATTCTAATGAAGTCGTCAATCATCTTCATTCTGAGGTTCTCCCTGCCCCGGTTTGTGATATTGCTGCTTCTAACGACGGTGGGTCTCCGCCTTTGGAAACACCGGGCTCATCCATTGACGTTGATCCTCATCCGTCTCTCCAGATGGACGAGTCATCTACACAACGGGATTTCCCAGCTGGTGGAGCCCCGGCCTCCCAAACGGCCATCAAGAGGCAGCTAAGGAAGCCTAGGGAAAGAAGGGTTCCCACTACTCCTTTTTCTAGGGCGCTTGGGTGAGATTCCCTGATTCTACATTATTATCATTACCAAGTAAATGGAGCAACTTTCATTTGGAATTATTTCCTACCAAATAGGATCAATTGGAGTCTAATGTGTTTTTACCGCACGTGGTACCAAATTATGAATAAGGAAAGAGCACAACAAGAAAATAAAGTGAAATCCTACCAAGGAACATTTTTGTAGTTACCAGAATTTGGGTAGCTCCTTAGTGGACATAAGACATTGAGTCTTATTTGTTGTTTGATCCATTTTGCTATTTCAATTGAAGATTTGCAGGCCTTGGGGCTGGACTTGCATGGGGCACTCTTCAAGAATCTACAAAGAGACTAATCTTTGGCTCCCCAACTTCAAAGGATAATCAAAATGCTCTTTCTCCTTACCTATCCGAGAGAAATGCAGAACGTTTGGCTCTCGCATTGTGCAGAATGCGTGGTGCAGCTCTTAAATTGGGACAAATGTTGAGCATTCAAGATGAATCTATTGTACCAGCTCCGGTACGAGTTCCTATCTGTGTTACTGTAATTCCATATTTACATTCTTTAATGAATGTGAATCGGGTGATGCAAAACTGTCATAACAATGGTCATGTTTATTGTAGTTTATGTATGGGACTTTATGTGCAGCTGGGTTATAAATAAGGGGGTTCTATTATATGCATAAGCAGATAAGCTATTATATCAAAATTTTCCTTCCCTGGAGTACTCATTTATGTGCCAAGTAAACCCTAATGATCATGTGGCAGTTGTTGAGTGTACTTGATTAAAATGGTTACATTCATTTATCTTGATAATAGAGAGGGCTACGCTTTAGCAAAGTTTCTGGAGTCTTGTATGACTTTCTAATAGTCATATACTCATACAAGCTCACGTGTCCTTATCTTCACCATTTATTTTCATTGTAGGGTCATCCCACTATGAAAGTGAATGTTGACGATGCCCAGTTGAGCCACATGACTCCTTCATAAAGGAGCCATGTAGGGCCATATAAAGTTTTCCTTACTTCTACGTCCAAGTGTCAGTTATTAAACCGTTAGGCACTGTGGTACTTGCACGAATAAAAAAGTAGCATGAAGAAGGAAGAAGATGAAGATTTCCTAGAAGTCATACGGGAAATGAGGTGGCTAAGACATGGACACTGGAGACCAGGTCAACTGCAAAATTATGAAGTGTGAGCTGATTTTAGCTCCACTCCAAGCATATATAACTTCAGGGAAACACTTGTTTAATTTATTTTTAGTGAAAGATCCCTTAGTATTTTTTCGCCTTACCCAGAAGGAATGTCAGGTGATGTATTTTTTATAAACTAGAAACTAATACACAACTGATTTAGTTATGTAGATTTGTATTGATTGCTAGATAGGGTGGAGCAGTAGGTATCTACACTTTCCCATTCACTTCAAAATCGTCATTTACTGGCTGTGTTCCTTTTGTTGTAGCATCTCTCTCTTGCTAGAGTTCATCTTATTGCTTCATACCTCCGTGCTGTTACTGCCTTTGTGATATTATTATCGTTATGATAATGAGATTTCTTGCTTGATTGTAGATCTTGGCTGCTCTGGACATTGTTCGACAGGGTGCAGATGTGATGCCTAGGAGCCAACTCAATAAAGTTCTTGACACTGAATTAGGCCCTGATTGGTCAACTAAGCTAAAGAGTTTTGATTATGAACCAATTGCAGCAGCAAGTATCGGACAGGTGGCTTGGTCTATCTCATGAAATCCTTTGAAACTACACCACATGCGTGAATGCACACACATTTTCTATTTGCTTACTTCAATCCACTGTATTATTCTATTTGCTTGGTCTATCAAGGTACTGGTCAAAGAAGAGTGAAGTTTTTAATCTACCACTTTGCTCCATTTGCCCCTAAATAAAAACTTAATTTGACCAAGCACAGTGACTAAATATGCGTGGTTCATAAAAGATTATTTAGAAGGGAGAAATAATATGAGCCACATATTGGTTTACTTAAAAGGAAATGTGGATTATTTAGAAGGGAGAAATAATTTGAGCCACATATTGGTTTCCTTAAAAAGGAAATGTGTGAAGATTTTGATATAGACTCATAGACATAAAAGGAAGGAAGTTTGAATATGATTTAGGGACAGGAGTAACTATTTCTAATTTACTACCAAAGTACCAATATCCCTTTTATCTTCTAACTTTCATTCTTTGTCCGCCCGAAATTTATCTTCACTTAATATTTTAGGAAAGAATTTTGCGGTTAACATTGTATCTGTTTCCTCCGACATCTAAACAAATTGCAATCACACATATTCTATTTTCTTAAAAATCATGTCAAAGTCAAAGGGGGGTATTAGGAAATAAGAAGCGACGGAAGGAGTACAGTTTTTCCAAAAATCTTTTCTTGATACCTTATAGTTTGTCCAGCTTTTCTATCATAGCATTGTGTAGATAGAACTAGTTTTAGGTAGATCAATGCCCATAAGCCACAAATTTTGTGTTTTGTTATTAGCAAATGGCTTTAATGAGTACAGGCTTAGGATAGCAATTATATTGTAAACTTTTATGTCACTTCTCCGTGTGTTCCCCCTCTCCCACAAGGGGAGGTGGTCATAGTGGGGCTTAAACTCTATGATCTACAAGTTCACGACAACAATAAATTTTCAATTTCAAGCTATCTCCATCTAGTCGGGGCTGCTACGCGTTTGCTAAATGGACAAATACCCTGACTCTCTGAAAGGCATCTCCAATGCAATTAGCTATTCGCATATTTTGTCAAATTTAAGTAGTTGAATAGCTAGTAATCAACTCCAATGCTACGATGTAGCTAGCTATTTATTTTAGAGAATTCCTCTTTATTAGCCGAGTCTACTGAGTCTTCAAGGCTAGCTATTATTTTTTTCATTATCCCCTTCTCTTCTTTACACATCCAACTATAGTTTGTTTAAAATCCTTTTAAGAAGAAAAGTTGTACTTACTTTCTATTGATAATAAATGAAATAATAAAATGGAGAGTCAGTAACTAGCGAGTTGTAACTTTTCATTTTCTTTTTGACTTTGATATCATGTATCGGTTCATGGGACTAAGGCTCGGTTGTTGTTATTGTTGTAGAGTCCATAACTAGTGTGTCATCCCAGTATGGGCACTTCAAGCGCAGCAATGTTTAGTTATTCTATTATTGACAATATTTTAATGAGTCATTTAGCTAGTGATGGTAGGAGCTGCTATAAGTGATTACAGAGTATAATTTTGCCATTTGGGAAGTGCCATTGAGTGACTTGCATTTTTTTTTAATAACTTGCTCTTATACTAAATTAACATGGTAAGGTAAGAGAGGAAAGTTTATTTGCAATCTGAAACAAATCATCATCGAGACCGTAAACGAACATTGAGTAACAGTTTAAATCTTAGAGTCAACCTATGTATTTTGAGGTTATTTTAGAACTGTATTCCGTCCAACGTGTGATTATTGATGAAACATATTTAAGACGTTTTTACTTTGACGGTAATCTATCCCAGACCAGATTAGACTTGAATAGTTATAAAAATACAAAGAGATCCTTACTTCCCTTGTTACGCTAAGCCTTTAAATTCTAAAAGCACATAGAAAATTCTGCCTATGCTTAAGATATTGAACATTGTAATGTTATCTTCTTTCATTGAACTAATTTTAGGTACACAGGGCTGTGACAAAGGATGATATGGAGGTTGCAGTGAAAATACAATACCCTGGTGTTGCTGACAGCATTGAAAGTGATATTGAAAATGTTAAACTTCTCTTGAGCTATACTAATCTTATCCCAGAGAAATTGTACATTGACAATGCTATGAAGGTAACTGGCATTTTCTAATTAATGGAAGCTCTTTTGTTCTGAGTTCTGACTGGAATTCTTAGAATCCTCTCGGAAACAATAACGTTTCGTGTCCTTGAACCCAAGCTAGGTAGCAAAGGAGGAACTCTCTCGTGAATGTGACTATGTACTGGAAGCAAAAAATCAGAAAATTTTCCGTGATCTTTTGCATGGAGAAACTGGCTTTTATGTTCCGATTGTGGTAGATGAGTTGTCCGGTAAAAGAGTATTAACTTCGGAGCTTGTCCCTGGTAATTGCATGTTGATTAAGGTTCTTGTTTTATAGTTTATAATGAGATTCCATACATTGAGATACTACTAGGCCCTCACTGTAATTCCATGGTCCTACATTATGTATCATATTCACTTTTTTCTGGGGGGTCGTATCCCTGAGGCGGTTTCATTTACAATGGTGCAGGAATTCCAATTGATAAGGTATCATTACTCGACCAAGAGACTCGCAACCATGTTGGAAGAAAGTTGCTTGAACTCACTTTGAAGGAGTTGTTTATATTTCGATTCATGCAGGCAAGTTTTTCTTTGGTATCTTTTATCTATTTTGTCAACTTTTCTCCCTATTTCATATTGTCATATGACTCATATCTCAAAAGGTAAAACAAGTCTTTCCCAATTTAATTTTCTACCTTTAGACATCATGCATGAAGTAAATTATGATTATATTCATACCTCAACCACTCCCAGACAAGCCAAAGATTTAGTAGGATTGGCAGTTCACGCTGCAATATTGGTGCATCATTGAAATGCTTCATTATCATTCCCAACAAACAACAACAAGCTAAAAAAGAGTTTGGGATGGGCTAACATGAATCGACACATGAAATCGAATCTAAAAAGATAAGAAAGATAAAAAGATAAAATCAGATAAAAAAGATAAGATGAAGATAAATATAAAATAAAGATAGGCTAAAGGGTCAAATAGGTACATGAACAAACTTAAAGTGTTCAATTAGCCCCTTATATAGGAGGTTCTGCCCGGCCGTCGCCAATTGGGGTGGTTCCCGGTTGAATTTTTTGATGAATTTTTTTGAGCATCTTCTTCATTAAGTCTAGTTTACTCATATCAAATTTCAGCTAAAAATTAAATCGGGAAGGGAGTCAAATGATTTTTCGAAATGTACTGCGTTGTTTAACTGCGCAGTTATCTTCAAAAAATCATTTGACTGCCTTCCCGGTTGAATTCTTAGCTGAAATTTGGTATGGGTAAACTAGACTTAATGGAGAACATGCTAAAAATTTTTCATCAAAAAATTCCATCGGGAACCGCCCCAATTGGCGACGGCCAGACAGAACCTCCTATATAAGGGGCTAATTGAACACTTTAAGTTTGTTCATGTACCTATTTGACCCTTTAGCCAATAAAGATAAAAGTTATAAGATAAAAAAGATAAAAACATAAGATTAAAAGGATAAAAAACATAATAAAGACAAAAAATATAAAAGATAAAAGGATAAAAAAGATGACAACAACATTACCCCAATGCCGCAAAGGCTCCCACCAACGGTGGGGTAAGAGGGGTTCAGATGTACGCATTCTTACCCCTGTACTAAAGCACAGAGAGGCCGTTTCCGAATGACCCATGATGAAAACCGCGTCAAAAATTGCATGGACTGACGGCTGCTTCATAACCATGAAGCACAGACAGTTTAGTGAGCCATTTTGCTTTATCCCATCATATTCTTAAGCCAAAAAACAGTGAGTCTTTAGCTCCATTGGAAATGATGGAAACTCCACAATCCACATAAAAGGATAAAAATATTCTCTCCACTTTGCTTTCTGTAAAGTCATACTTTGATCCAATCCAAGAAGAAGAATATCACTCTTGACTCCTCTAAATCCACTTCTGTTTGGATCTTCCTCTCATTGCCTTTTCTTCCCACTTCTCAGTTCGTCTAACATGTGCATCACTCGGTCTTAATACACACATAACCCCCCCCCCCCCGCAATCAAGACTCTCTCATCTTATCTACAACAGGTGTTACTCCCAGCTTTTGTCTGATTCTTTCATTCTTCAACGCAACATGCACATCACAGTCATACTCATCTTTTGGACGTGACATTGTTTCACCGCCCAACACTCTACGTCATACAATAGTGCAAACCTAATTGTTCTCCGATAAAACATATCCTTGAGTCAGTCGGCATACCTCGATCACATAGAAATCCCGATGAACTCTTCCATTTCATCCATCCTATTATGATTCCACGCGATTCTTTTCCGTCTAGTTCATCCAGTTCATTATCATTCCCATGGTGTGAAATTCAATTTAGAGAATGTATTTGAAAATGTGTCGAGAATCATGTATCAACATGCAGTCTCTAACAAGTATAAACAAACACTTTTTGGAAATCTTGCTGTATTGAGAAGGATTTTAGGTGGTAGTTCTGAGTTACTAAATTTGTACACCTATTTTGATTTACCAAATTTCCACTTCCTTCTCTTTGTCTTATAGTGAAAGATCACCTATATTTGATATATTTTCCCTGTTCCTACCTTCACCGTGTTAGTCTCACTAAGCCAAATACTATACCTGAAATATACGTTCCTTCTCATACATCTCCTAAAACACTAGTTACTTTTTCAATAGTTCAAGGGGAGCCATATCAGTGTGTCACCTTTCTCACATATCACCATCTTATATAGACATTTCAAAAGTTAATAATAAATTGATAATGTGTGCAACTGTGCATACTTCAGAAAAAAGTATCACTTATTTCACAATTTTACACTAAAGTTGTTATATAGTAAAGTTGACTTAATACTTCTTGGGAATAGAAGTTCTATTGCTTTTGTTGGTAAGTTAAAGTGTTCTTCAAATGTCAATAGGTATAAAAGGTTGGTCAAGAACCTTTCTGCTTTGTTTGGGAAGTTAGTCAAGAATCTGTATTGAACATACATGCCTTCATCTCTCAACTAGTCAAATATGCTTTCATTTTTGTATTGTAGTTAATGAACCTATAAGTGGTGAAAACTTTCTGAGTCTTTTTCTCTGCGAAATTTCCCTAAACATGAGTAAAAAGTACTAAAAACAATGTGATAATTTCAAAATAACAGTACTATGTTTCCCCCCACAAAGGAGTAAGTTATTGCCATCCTGAAATCATATTGCCATAGTTTTGATATTTTTCGAGTATAACAGTAATTACTTCTATTTACTTATTTAGGAAAACAACATAGTACTCTGTACTCCTATTGTAGAATATTGCATTGTTTTTACCCTATTTAGGGAAATTTTGTTTTTTTTTTCTGCTTTGTTTTTTCAAGTTATCCCATGTCTTGCTCCACAGGTATTTTTTTCCATACTTATTTTCCATCCTGTCATTCTGTGCTCACCTCTTGTTGGAATTAATTAAGCAGACTGATCCCAATTGGAGCAATTTCCTTTATGACGAGTCTACAAATTCAATCAATCTCATAGACTTTGGAGCAGCTCGGGACTACCCTAAACATTTTGTTGATGACTATTTAAGAATGGTAAGATTGTCATCGATTTAGTTGGATAGAAGCACTCTTCCTTGTTGCATGTTGCCATATGTGATTCATTTCATTCCCTCCTACTCACTCCTTCCCTAGTTAATAATTCTTAATTTGACTTCGGACCGAGCTTTTAAATGAAATTAGCATCAACTACCCAATTTCGAGACTACATTTACATACCAATTCGACTATATCTCTTATGAAATATTATCTCTATAAGAGAATTTTAAAAAAGGAAATGAAGTAGTTCAAATGTTATTTTCAGGGGAAAGAATTAACATCAACCACACAATTTTTTCCTTAAAAAGAACCATGAGGGATTGCTTAGGGATGAACAGAATGAGAAAAATGTGAAAGTTAAAAATAGGAAAAGGGAATATTATAAAAATGCTACCCCCTCTGACCCATTGGACTTTGCCAACTTTCCTTTTTTGTTGTCCCAAAAAACTTTGCCACTTTCCAATTAAAGCAACTAACTTGTGGTTCTACTCATTTCTCACTCCTTTGCACAAACCTCAACCACACAACTTTTACATTTTTTTATTTCTCACCTACTTTGAAATTGGCAAAGTCCACTGGGACGGAGGTAATATTAAAAGTGGAAAGTTGCAAATATTTGGCAATCGTTTATTTGGGGGTGGTGGTGGCATTCTATAGGTCTGTACTTCTCTGCTACGAAATTAGAATGTTGCTTTACTTAGATTTCCACATTTTTATTGAGCATAATACATTTTGCGGGACTCTTTCTTCAACCAATGTATATAGGTTCTTGCTTGTGCAAACAGTGACCGGGAAGCAGTGATTGAGATGTCAAAGCGACTTGGATTTCTCACAGGGGAAGAGTCAGATATAATGATAGATGCACATGTGCAGGCGGGTTTTATAGTAGGTTTGCCATTTTCAAAGGAAGGAGGCTATGATTTCCGGTCTAACAATATAACACAAAGCATTTCGAATCTGGGGGCTACCATGCTGAGGCACAGGCTGACACCTCCACCAGAAGAAGCGTACAGTCTGCACCGAAAGTTATCCGGTGCTTTCCTTGCTTGCATCAAGCTTGGTTCTGTTGTGCCTTGTCGCGAAGTATTGTTTGATGTGTATGATAATTATCAGGCTGGTGAAGATGGCGTCGTTTCGTCACGGGCGTATTGAGGTTAGGTTTCCCAGTTTCCCTTACCTGGGCGCTCTTATTCATCATCCTTCCCAAAAAATATTTTTGATTTGATGACATCATAATATATTACTCATCATTCATCAAATTTGATTTGTGCAGTGTATCACGAATTGTGATTGATTGATTTTTAATTTTTATAGTGAAAAAACTTGTTATTTCTCTTATAAATTTATTATTGTAATTACTTCATACTACTTCATCTTCTTTTGAAGAATTGTACGAGCGTCATTTTTGTTTCTTCATTCACTGTCCGGATGATAATTCCTTAACTGGATTGCTTTCACAAAAAGGGACTTAACTAAACAATTAGAGGCTAGCACTACATCCCTATCCTTTCACTTTCCTCTTTTTTACCTGGATATGATTTCTTAGAATGTAAATTTTGTGTTGTTGGGATGAATCTGCCTAGATAAGAGAGAATTTCATAAACAAACGGAAAAGGAAAGAATTGAAGATAAAAAGGGCGAAATGTGACCCCCACTCCATGAGAGATCATATGCCAAAGATGTATCCTGGTTTTGGAGTTTTGAACATACATATATATTATATATACACATACCAACTTTCCATCTACAACACAAGATTGCAACCTTCCTTCATCCATTGTAGGAAAAGGAGGGATCTTCAGGAACACTATCTCGAGAATATATAATTTCTCCTTCATTGAGCTCCGTGTTCCGTCATGTCTTTCCAATCATTCTTTGAACACAGCTACTTTACAACATCACAGGGTGCATGTGATGCTTGTATAATCCTATTCGGTAACACTATATATGGTTTAGTTTATGAGATTGCTGATGAATTGACTCAACATGTTAAATGATAATGTAATACTAGTAACTAATATGTGTATATATATATTATATATACACATACCAACTTTCCATCTACAACACAAGATTGCAACCTTCCTTCATCCATTGTAGGAAAAGGAGGGATCTTCAGGAACACTATCTCGAGAATATATAATTTCTCCTTCATTGAGCTCCGTGTTCCGTCATGTCTTTCCAATCATTCTTTGAACACAGCTACTTTACAACATCACAGGGTGCATGTGATGCTTGTATAATCCTATTCGGTAACACTGTATATGGTTTAGTTTATGAGATTGCTGATGAATTGACTCAACATGTTAAATGATAATGTAATACTAGTAACTAATAGTTGTATTTAAAAATAAAGAAAAGTTGTATGAAATAAAAGCTAAAAGTTTCCCACAGCGAATTCTGTACAAAAAGTATCTTAACTCTTCTTTATTTTGAATATTACTCAATAAAACATGCAAATTTAAAATATAGCGTTTGATAAAAAAAAAATAAGACTGATAAGCCACAAACTAAATTACTAAACGACAGTTGTTGTCATAAGCTTTACTTCTAATGTTAATAGGTTATACACTTAGATATACTCATAGGGTAACACTGAATTTGGTTTAGTCTGTGGGATTGTGGCTGAATTGACTAAACATGCTAAGTTATCATATTTAAAAATGAAGGAAAAAAATTATATGAATTAAAAGCTAAAATTTTCCTCTTCAGCAGATTATGTGTGAAAGACTCCTCCCTCCGTTCGTTCTTATTTTGAATATTACTCTATGCAGCATGCAAATTTAAAATGTAGCGTTTGATCGAGAACATGACTGATAAGCCACAAATTGTATTACTAAACAGTAAACAATAGTTGTTGTCATAAGCTTTACTTCGAATGTTATACTCATTGGGTAACAATAAATTTGGTTTAGTTTATGGGGTTGCGTCTGAATTAAACATGTTGAGTAATGTAATAATCATATTCAAAATATATTTAATTTAAACAGAAAGAAAAAGTTATATGATATAAAAGATAAAAGTTAATTTCCTTTTTCACCTGTAGAATATGTCTGAGAAGTATCTTCATTCTTTCTTATGTTGAATATTAATCGATGAAGCATGCAAATATAATATATATAGCGTTTGATGGAGAATAGGACTCATAAGTCACATGCAAATTCAATTACCTTCATTTTTTTTAAGCTCTACTTCTAATGTTATATATACTCATTGGGTATTACTGGGGGAATGAATTTAATCACCTTTCATAACATTACCTCAGGACACAATTGAAATGAATACCTAACTTGGGAGCTAATGTTGGGCACAAATTTGTTGCTACGACCTATGTTTATCTAAGGGCCTCGTTTTACAGTACTACTTTTACTTACATAAACAGTTCATGAATAATGATATTACGTTGTTACCTCCATGTAGGGCTGGACTGGGCCGGGCCTAGGCCCGGTCGGGCCTCTGGTCCTATAAAGGGGGCCCGGAACAGGCCCGTCCTTTGCCCGGTTCCGGTTCAGGCCGGGTCACCCCGCCGGGTCCCGGGCCGGGCCACCCGCCGGGTCGGGCCTAGGTTATATTTTTTTTTAATCTTTTTAATACAACTTAAATATGAAATATATTTTTCAAAAAATACTAATACAATAAATTCTAAGTTGTAAGTTGTAAGTTTGTAACCAATTAATTAATTAATTAATTAATTAATTTGAGAAGTGCTACATATAAAAAAAAGAATGTATATTTATTTGAAATATGAAATACAACTTTACAAATTACAATAGAGAATTGAAGGAAAAATTAAAACATGAAATACATTTTATAATAAACTGTAAAATACTAATCAATCGGAATCTCCGGCATAGAAGCCACCCTCGGTTGTTGATTCATCTATGGGTGGACCGGTTCCGGTTCGGGCCCGGTTCGGGCCTGGGCCCGGCCGGGCCTCGGTTCAGAAATGGGAGGCCCGGAACCGGCCCGGGTAATCCCAGGTCCGGGCCGGGCCGGGCCTCGGTTCTATTTTTTTTTTTGGCTTTTCCTAATTAACCCCCAACCCTCCCCCCTCACCCCCAAACCACCCCAAACCATCTCAAAATGGCCCAAAATACCAAGCCCAACCCAAAAACTTAAAAAAAAATTCAAAATAATAATAATAATTTGGCCCGAACCGGCCGAGCCGGTTCACCAATCAAAGGGTCCGGGCCCGAACCGCACAGTAACCGGGCCGGGCTGACCCGAACCGCCCCCGGACCGGTTCCCGGGCCGGGCCGGTTCAAACAGTAACCGGGCCGGGCCGCCCGGCCCGAGTCCATCCCTAGATTCATCCATAAAGTCTTTGGAGGGGGTGAGGCTAACTTCTTGACATTTACGTATGGCCTTCAACAGTTCAACCAATCGTGGTAGCATATAAGCGTCTCAAGAGACTCAGCGCTCAAACTCGTTCTAGATGTCGTTAGAACGTTGCCGGCCGAACTACATTCTTGTTCCACGGCAACTGTTGAAACCGGCATTGATAGCACTTGCTTAGCCATCCGTGCCAAAATCGAGAACATTCTTTCTTTTGACTTCCACCACTTTAGAACGTCAAACTCCTCATTTTCGTCAAATTCTACCTCATAATTTATATACAAAGAAATCTCATTAAGTGCGCTTTGTTCAGTAGTGTGAGTTGTTTTAGGTTTTTTCATAAGATTGTCAAAAGCAGATTTAAAAAGTGATTTTCTTTTAGATGAAGATGTGTGTGTCGGGGGAGGGGGCGCGTTGCCATATTGTGCACGAAACTCATTAAATAAGGCATAAAATAAATTACTAACCTCGTTGTATTCAACTTGCGGATCTATGGTGTTATCATCATACATTGGAAATGGACCAAAAAAATCATTATAATAGAACTTCAAACATTCTTCCAAATTACCAAGTCTATAACGAGGATCGAGAATAAATGAAATACTATAAATATGCGGAATATGTGCATAATATTTTAAAAACTTTTCCTTCATAAAACCACAAAAATAACTCACGTAAGCGGCATTCTCAAATTTATTAAAAGCACCGGCGAGATTAACAACTTCACGAATAAATTCGTTTGAGGTAGGTTTATAAACATGACTAAAACTCTCAGTTGCATTATTAAAATATATCAAAACATTTCAATTTTTTTCGCAAGTGTCGATGTGAGCGGGGTTTAAAATATAGTTATCATATTGTCTTAAAAAAGCAGGAAAATGTTCTTTATATCTAAGAAGAACTTTAATTAATTTATAAGTACTATTCCACCGAATAGACAAATCTTTAGGGAAAGCAACATATTTCACACCTATTTCAATCAAATAATTTTGCCATTTTAATTTAAGTTGACCATTACCCCAAATACGTCTAATCCCCCCTTGACTACCTCCATAACATCTCCTAACGCTTTTATACCGTCTTACACACATAAATTTATAATATGGCATGCACATCGTTGATGAAAAAATCTACCCATCAAAGTATTAGAATCACATAATTCACGCAATCTAGGTATAGCAGCAGTATTATTAGTAGCATTATCAAAACCTATAGCAAACACCTTATCAATCAAATTATACTCAGTTAAAATACGTTCAATCAAAATATAAATATGTTCAGCGGTGTGACGATCATTAAATTCACGAAAAGCAAGAACACGTTTATGCAAATTCCAATCACTATCAATAAAATGTGCAGTCAGGCCCAAATAATGTAAATTATGATAAGTATTGTAACACTTGAGATTTAATATAAATGGATTAATAGTACTACTCATACCAACAAGATGCATCTCCTTTTAAGGGAGCTCGTCCGCTAAGAACTCCAAAGTTAAGCGTGCTTGCACGGGAGTAGTCTTGGGATGGGTGACCCTCCTGGGAAGTTTCTCAGGGCGCGCACGAGTGAGGACAAAGTGCGCCTAAAAGGCTAGTGGCGGTTTGTGAGGACAGTACTATTGGTCCAGAGTAACTACCTCGGGTCCCACGGGGCCGGGGTGTTACAGGTATCCTCCCAAATGTCAGAACAAATAGTAACACGGCCGTCAAAGTTTGCAAAAAAATTTTGTAACCTATCCTTTTCCGCACGATAAAGCCTTATAATTTCTTTCTTAACCGTTTTGCGACTATAACTTTTAAATTGAGGATTTAAACAAGTTTGTGCATAATCTTTAAAAGCAAGACTTTCAGAAAACAAATAAGGCAAATTTTCTTCAACAAGTAAGTTAGCCATACCAGTCAAATTTTGTGCATCAGTGTATGAGAAATTGCCAAAGGGTTGGTTATTTGCAAATCTCGATATTTGAGTTTGCTTCCCCTTCCCTTTGTCTATTTTCGCATACTCCACAGAGTGCGCGGACTTAAGATGCCTTTTGAGGCTCCCGTATCCGCCGGAAGTTCCCAAGCTATACTCCTTCTTGCAATGATCGCAACTTGCGTACCATTTATCGGTTTTTGGGTCTTTCCTCTTTGTAAAATTATTTTGTATAATAGGAGATTTAGATTTCTTACCAACTTGGGATGGACCGCCCTCATCCTCCAACTCTTGCTCATCATCCGGGGTACCGTGAATCCCGTCGCCCCCCTCGTCCTCCTCCGCATCGTCATCCTCGAGCTCCTCTTCATCAATGGACTCCGGGATGTTTTGTTGTTGGAAAAAGCGACCATCATTTTGCGCCAATAGTTGTTGTAGTTGCTCGTCGGACATCGCATCCCCATCTCGCCTTTGGTATCCGTCATCAAAATCTTCTCAACTTTGAGAAGAAGACCCGGCCCGCCCTTTACCTTTGCCTTTGCGTAAACTAGGATGACTTGTCGCAATCTCCTTCCTTCGGTTGCGTTGGAGACTACCCACATCTACGGAATGTCTGACACGGTCCATCTTTAAAATGTAACAAATATTATATGATATCAAATGTTTTAATATGAGTACAATAGTAATAATAAAATGCGACTAATAAAATTAACTACTTTTATTAGTTTATACTTTAATGCAACATTTAATAATTAACTAGTTTTATACTTGAATGAAAAATGTAACAATTAACTAGTTTTATACTTTAATGAAAAATGTAACAATTAACAAGTTTTATACTTGAATGAAAAATGTAACAATTAACTAGTTTTATACTTTAATGAAAAATGTAACAATTAACTAATACGATGAATTTAATTACTATGAATTCAAGTGTAACTAATATAATTGTATAACTAATATATAATATAATGTTTATAGTATATAACATATAAGTATATTACTATAAGATGAGTAATACACTTATATATAATACTTTAATATATATAAGTAAATAACAATAAATATAGATAACAAAGTAAATATTAAAAAGATGGAGATGTATAAGTGGATAATAAGTATATATTAAGTAGATAATAAATATTA